GCAGACAGATGACCAAAAGCTAGTCCCTTCCCAGCCAGGTACCTTCTGCAGCTGGAGCTACAAACATCTGCGCTCAGAAATGGTTCACCTCTGGAATGAGCTAAATACATGGATAAGGCTTGCACATGCTCTACCCTTCTTTTAGCCCCTCTGACTGGGAGGCTGACTGGCTAATGCCGAGTCCTCAGCTGATTCAGCTCAACACTCCTCTTCTTCCTGCCGGCCTGCACTGAAGTGTGTTTGTTGGGGCAATTCTGCCTCATTGATCTGAGAACAGATGGTTAGAAACACCGACCGGGACAGAAATGATCTTGAGGAGCACAGATATCATGATGATTGGGACAGCAGGGAGTGTGTACCAGAGAGTGTACCTGGTTGGGGGCTGAATCCCCTGTTGGGGGGACGTATCCCTTGTGTGGGGGCTGAATCCCCTGTCACAGGGCCATAACCACTGTGTGGGGGCCATCACCCTTGTGGGAGGGCAGCAAAATATGTATTCATGACCCCCTGTGGCAGGGGGTCAGGCTAGATGATCTGTTCAGGTCCTTCCTGACCCTAGCTACTATGATACTATGTATTTAGAGTTCACTTTATTATTATGATAAGAGACTTGCTTTAACACTGTAGATATATCAATAAAACATTGTCCAACTGATCACTGTCTCCGTCTCACTTTCTCTTTATAGCAGTCTTTTGTTTTACTTGTGGAGGAACATGGATTTGGGGGTATTTTACAGTGTGAATTTGGGATTTTTTTATCAGGAATTTTTCAGTTTTCCAGTAGGGAACACCAGAATACCTGCTAGGGAGGCCAGTGGCAGGACCCTGCCTGCTTAGAGCTGGCACCTTGGACCAAGCTGGCTGTGGCTGGCCTCCTGGCCAAATGGGGCCAGGAGGACATGCTTTGACAGTTCAAAGCAGGCCACCACACCCAGAACATCTTCCAGGCAATAGCTGCCCAGATGGCTGGGCAGGGAGCACACATGGCAGTAGTGCCGCACAGAGACCAGCCCTGCAAGCACAGTCCACTGGCAACTAGCCCAGAAGGGCAGATGCCTCTACTGGCTGTGCAGTCCCCATCTGGATCTGGCAGGTGTGCAGCAGGTCACAGTCAGGCAGCAGCCCCCACTGCCAGACTGCTGCAGTGGGTAGAGGGTGCAGGCAACTCTCAGGGCTGCTTCAGCAGTCCAGCTGGCACAAGGGGTAGTGTCCCAGGTACCAGTTGGCTGGGCCCCAGCAGCTTCTGAGAACTAGTAGCCCTGAGCTACTTGCCAGGGCGGCTTTTTATACTGCTGGGGCCAGGACAGGGCAGCTTTTTATACTGCTGGGGACAGCACAGGTGCTGGCCCTGGGGCTCTAGCTCACCCCGGCTGCAGATCCGGGAGGAGCCAGGCAGGGTTATTTTGCCCCAAGTGGCACAATTTGCTCCACACCAAAGTGCATGTCCAAGCACATGCGCTGAAGCAAGAAGTCCTGGCTCAAATTTACACCGCTTCTATTTGAGCTGCTGCAAGCACAATTAAGGGTGGAAGGGATTATTAGCTCACCTAATCTGACCTTCAGCGCACAACTTCCTGGAAAAAAACTTTTCTTCTTTGAAAAACATCATATTTTCAAAAAGTTTCCTGCCAGATGGAAAAATAAGTTAAAAAAGAGATTCCCTGAGCTGCCTGACTCTCCAGCCCTCTTGCCCAATTTCTGCCAGACATTTCAACAGACCTCCATGTCCCTGCAGACTGCTCCATCAGAGTACTCCTGTGGGGCATTCTCCTATCAGGGATGTTTTGACCTGTACAGCATAAGACATTACAGTTCACTTACCTTCCCCAGTACCCAGCACAGTGACTTGTTTGGCTTTTCCCCAGCCCCCAAACCACTTCTGTTGTACCTCTCCACACACTCCAATTTTTCAATGTTTTTCAAATAAAATTGCAACCTTCTAGGGTAGGGGTTTTCACCGTTTTTTAAGAAACGTACCTCTTTTGGTGGTGGTGGCTGGATGCAGAGTGAGTGGGGGGGCTTGCACGCGACCACCACCACCACCATCCACCATCCCGCTCCACACCACCACTGCCACACCCCACTCCCACATCTGGTCACACATGCAGCTCCGAGGGTAGCTGAGGGGCCTTACACCTGGCCAATTGTACGCCGCCTATCAGCAGCCCACAGAACCACCTGTGCGATTGCCCGTGGAAAAGTGTCGCGTGACAGCAGCACAGGGTGGTGAATGGAGGCAGCAGCTACTGCGTGTGAGCTTCCCCTCACCCCAGCATCTGGCCAGCTGGGTAGCACCTGTGCATCCCACAGAGGGGCAATGCTACCTTTGCCTTCCCCCCAGCCTTGCTCCTGGGAGGCAGTGGCACGGCTCCGTCCCCACCCATACCCCCTCGGACCTTTCCAAGTACCCTTAGGGGTACACATACCCCTGGCTGACAACCCCTGTTCTAGTGCTTAGATCAACTTACTGGGGCCTCTGGAGGCCCCAACTACCAGGCAGGTGCTCTGGCAGGATTCACGGACCTCTCTGTCCCTAGAGCCCTTGATCCCTTGTACTTATGACAGCCAGAGCCCAGGGGAGAAGGAAGAAGACTGTGGGGAGCAGAAGCAGTAACTGCATTGTCACAGGAAAGTGCACTGGACTCTGTAGAGCTGGGGGTTATATGGCCAGAGGTGACCTTGTTACTTAAAATTGCCAATAGCTTAAATTAAGAGTAAGACCTTAAAAAGGGGGATAAGGCAAAATGCCGTGTTTATTGATTACGTGAAGCAAATACATAAGCTTGGACACACCAGTCATACAAACAGACATACACAAGCATACATACAAACAGACATAGACAAACATGCAGACAAAACCACTCCAGGAAGATGTTATAGTTACCAGCAGATTTTACTCAGTATTAGCACTAGATGGCTGGGTCCAAGCTTATCGAGGATATGAGTGGGGATAACAGGGATTCATGCCTGTGCTCCATGAGGTTGCAGAGAGTGGATTCCCCATCTTGGTTTGTGTGCATCCCACTTCTATAGGGATTTCAAGTCTTTGTTCAGCATTGGGGTTTTTTCAATGCTCCGTTTTTAATTAGAGGTTGTTCCTTCTGGTTATCTCAACTTGAGGTCATTCCAGAGTATCTCCGATGAGGTCATTCCAGTAAAGTTGGTTATCTCTGAGTTGGCATTTCAGTCTTGATCTTTGCCTTAAAGAATTGTGTAGTTCAAATGGCAGGATATGCAAAATTCCTTCTTCTTTGCAGCTGATTACAGATGAGTTCTTCAGCCATCCATTAATTAGCTTAATTAGTTTACTGTCTGGTAACTTATACATTGGTGCCTTGTTGCTTACACAATCAGTTACATTTTCTTCTGTTTTCATGCAAATAGTTACCATTCTTTCACCATTCACCCTCTCACACAAATATACGAAGTTCATCTACTCATGTCAAGCAGGGAACAAGCACAAAATGGAGTTTTAGTTGTTCATGCAATCATAGAGGTTGATCAATTCAATATTATTATCATTTAAACATAACTAATATGCAAAAATTCATACTACAACCTCAGGGTGATGTTCGCATTCATGACAGTGGGATCAGGGGTGGGATCTGTCCCTGCAGGACAGTGATTTCACACAAAGTGCTGGAGGCAGGACAGACTATACACAGCTAGGGTTGTTCCCCCTACAGCTGGGTAACAAGTGAGGCGGCGGCCATCTGCAGAGGGGCTGAGAGCTGACAGGCTTGTTAGCAGTAGCTCTTTCCCCACATCAGAGCTCTTGGGTGGTGACTGTGGTTAACCCTGAGCTATTTCAGTTTTGAGTGAGAATGTAGCTTTTCATCCTTCTGAACAGACCATCAGGGGTGATGGAGTCCGTACTCTGAAAAACGTGGTGCAGAAGCTGGATGCTCTTGGTGTGCGAATATCTTGGAGCCCCAGCTCAGACCCCAACCCAATTGTGCCAGGTGCTGTACAAGCACAAAGAGGGAAGGCCCAACCCCCAAACAGTTTACATGGAAGAAAGTGCAAAATATGTTGCCGAGTGCTGCCAGAAAAAAACTATGGACAAGGAAAGGCTTTGGCTTCAGCCAAATATTCCCCCAGAAGTTTTACCTTATTTTTCCATTGAGGAAAAGTCAAATGCTAGCTTCTTGGCTGGTCACCCTCCCTGCATGGGGAATGATGTTGGATCTCACAGACCTCCTGAACCAGGGGCAAAAACACTTTAGCCCCATGTGGGCCTGAGTTGGGACCTTAATGCTCACCCCTGCTGATTGATCCCATAGGGACACTAATGTTAGGCCCTGCATCATCTCTAGTCCTAGGCAAAGACTAAATGGGCTTCATGGGAGGGACCAAGCACTCAGGATAATGGCACTGGAGGGGCTGATGGTATCTGTGAGACAAGTGCAGACCCAGACTCAAATAACCACATCTCCTTCTGACCAACTCCATGCTGCACACAGGACTTGAGACACCTGCAAGAACTGCTGCTTAAAGCCATTTATTGTATGCCATTTACTGCAGAGAAGAGCATGTTGCAGGATTTCGCTGCTGCATTTCAAGGAAAGGTTTTCGCACTAGAAATGAAGAGGCTAAAGTGGAGCAAATGGCACCTTGAAACTTTCAGTTCTGGAGGGCACCAGCTTCCATGCAGCCAGGGGAGAGGGTCTGGCTAGCTTAGGAGAGTTGGGTAATGCGGTACAGGGACTTCATCTCTGTGTGGCTGGCTGGAGTCTAGTCCTATACTGAGGATAAATCAGTTGTATTGGGATGCTCAGGGAATGGGAAGTTGGGTCTTTCCCCTCAAATGGGCAGGGAAGAAGGCTAGCTCAGGGTATCCCCATCCCATTGAGATGTAATGATGGCAAGTGTCAGGGAACATTTTGACATGCTCTGGACAGAGTTGAGACCCCCAGCTCTGAGAGGAATATCTCAAGGCACTGAATGTGGTGGAGCAACAGAGCAGCTACAACCAGCCTCCCTCTGTTATATCCCCAGAGCTATTCCTGGCCCATGTTCTCCTCTATCCAATTGATGTAGGCTGAGATACGTGTATAGAAAGTAGGAGGAAGGCCATTGTACACTCCATAGGACACAATACCATAGGCTTTACCTTTGCACACCAGAGGCCCCCCCAGAATCAACCTACAAAAAGGAAAGAAAGAAATCATAGAGAAGTCAAGCTTGATGGGACCTCCAGAAGTCACCTAGTTCAACTCCTGCTTGAGGCAGGATCATCCCTCTCCAAACCATCCTACACATATCCACTGTCTAACCTCTTAGGGCTGGCTGTGTCTTTGTGCTAACTCAACACAAAACCTTACACCCCAACCTGCCACAGATAAACAGGGGGACCATGTTAAAATGTGCTTGAGAGACCCGAGACAGAGAGCCATGCCCCGACTACAGAGGAAAGAAAAAACCACCCCCAGTTCATACCGATCTGACCCTGGGGTAAAATTCCTTACTAATCCCAGATGTGGCGTTAGTCCGACCCTGATTGGAAGGGAAGGCCCTCTAGCCAGGATCCTCTGTGTTTAAGTCCCAGCAGAAGCACTGGCACAGACCAGTCAAAGTTCCCAGCCTTGGTTGCAGCCAAAAGCCAATGCCTCTAAGGAAGGCTTAGAAGCTCCCTGGGCATCTGTAGCAGCAGAACTGGACAACAAAATTCCTTCCCAACCCCATGTTGCAACCAGCAAAGTCCCAAAGCAGGTGAAATACCTGCAGTAAAGCATAGGCACAGCTATGCCTAGATCATGCCCAGCCAGTGGCTGTCCAATCTCTTCTTGAACAACTCCAGTGACAGAGGCCACAACTTCCCAAGGTGTCTGCTCATCACTGCTCTTAACAGTGAAATGTTTTTCTAGTCAAAATTGACTTTGCTACAACTGCAGACCATTGGGTGCTCTACCTGCTGCAGCAAAGGAGAAAAAGTGTTTTTCTCTCTTTCTGGCACCCTTCATGTAATTGAAGTCGGTCATGTCCCCTCTTAAGCAACTTTTCTGCAAGCTGAACGTGCCCAACTCCTTCAGCCTCTCTTCCTATGTCTTGCCTTCCAAGCCCTTTAACTTTCTTGTCACCCATGTCTGGACCCCCTCACTTCTCCACGTCCTCCTAGAAGTAGGCTAATATGCAAGTTGGCTGATGGGAAAGACCATCTATTTGGAACCCATCTGAGCATGAGAGTTAACGGAAAGAGCACGATGCAATGGCTGTTGGCACCCACAGACAGTAGTGTGTAGTATCAGTATCAAGTCTGGCCCATAGCATGTTTGTTTCATGCCTTCCCATCAGGCTGCTAAATGACTTCATGCCATGTTTGGAAGTAAGTATTTCAGTGCCAAGCTCAGCATAGCAGGAGCACAGGGGGGTAGGAGCTGCATTATAAAAAGCAGGGTCAGAAACAAGAGAATTACCTGGAAAGGTGACTTCTCCTCTCCTCTGTGCAGATCAAAAGTGGAGTTGAAAGAGTGATAGAACTGCATACACTGCTTCTCCTCAGCCACCTGCAAGTCCACCTCCCTGAGCTGGCAGGGTTGAGTGGGCAGGTCTACTCCAGTCATTCTCCAGCCAGCCACGCTGCAATTGGTCCCTGGTTTCAACACAGCATTAGCTTGGGGCAGATGAATTGGCTTCACAGTCTCATTTATTGTAGCTTTGTGTGCCAGCTTCCATAAGGAGGACAGAGGAATGAGGAAACAGATATATTATGCCCTCTGACTGGTGGTAATTTTAGCTAGGAAGAGACTGATGGTGAGATTTTGCCCTTTGCTGGCTCACTCTCTCTAAAAGTTTGAGTTTGTTCAGCCTTATTAATGGACTTTGGGAAGAGGGGCTACAAAAGTCCCTGTGCAGCTATGGCAGATAGTGGAGGAAGGACTTGCACAAAGTCAACCCAGAGGGAGCCAGTAACAGAGCCAGGATTGGAATCCAGGAGTTCTGGTGCCCAAATCCCTCTGCCTGGTCGAAAGGCAGGTTGACCCTGCAACTCTGACATATCCTCGCTGGGACACTTCTGAGCACACGCACCCACATGCTCCAGCTGGCGTACACTAAACCCCCAAATCCACAGGAATTGCTCATAAGCACAAGCATATATACCCAACTCCCCAGTCCTCATGTCTCTTTCCAGACTCAGGGATAAAACAAGGGGCCCTCACTGTCCCTTTTCCTTCTTACAAATGAGAAGAACACCTACAGGTCCTGACAGCCAGGGTCCCGCTCTAACCCATTACTATTACTCACTTCCCTTCTAGAGCAGGGGTAGGAAACACAAGACACAGCTCCCAGGGGCAGGTGCCTTAGCCATCAGACCCCAAAACCTCTGCCAGCCATGGAGGGAGCTCCACAGCTGCTGTGTGCAAAGGAGCACAGCCCCTCCCCAGCACCCTCTCATTATGGACAGTACCTGGAACAGCATAATGTCATTTTCAAAGGTTTCTTTATTGTAGTCCTCATGAGGAATCATGCACCGCACTGCAATTGCCTGCCTATTCTTCTTTGAGGCCGTGACAGGTGAGACAAGCAGGTGATCCCACAGGCAGCCAGTGTGGGCCAAGCAGGTCCCATGGGGCTGCCCAGGTTGTCAGGGTCAGCCTCAGAGGTGTCCTGTTACAGGACCCCTGCTCTCACTCGGGGTCAGTGCAGCATTGGGATGGACGGAGGCCCCATTCAATATGCTGGGCAGGGGAAGAAACCCGTCTCCTTCAAGAGGGGTCAAAAACTACCCTGCCTGGGGCAGCCTATTCCCAACAATGGCCCACCACCACGAGGAAAGTCAGGGAAGGATCAGCTTGTCCCCAAGCAGCCAGGCATCCACACCTGTGCCCAGGTGGCCCCTCTCAATCCCACACAGAGGTCAGGGATGGAGGAAGATGGTAACATTGCAGCCAGGTACGTGCAGAGTGTAACTGCTCTGCAGTACTCTCAGTGCCAAACAGAAGGACAGTGGACCACTGCACTCAATTCCCAACCCAGATTCAGAGCTGGAAGGACCCTGGCCTTGCAGACAGGACCAGCTGCTGCCAGGAGGCTGCCTAAATCTCACCCTTTAGGAACACAGTGTGCGGCTGTCAAGACAAAATCCTTTTGCACCAGGAACCCTCCACACTGAGAACCTTTTATCTCCACAAAGGCCATGTATGGTCTTGAGTGAGGTTTGGCTTCCCGGCCACCGATGATTTCCCCTGGGAATCCCCCATCCCAGAGAGACACAAAGTCAGGAGACAGAAGTCCACAATCTCCTACCTCCCTAAATCTCTCGGACCACAGCTCTGGCTGGTCAGAGCTCCCTGTCCCTGGCAGCAGCACCAAATCCTGCCCCTGAGCTGAGCCCCTAGAAATGTTCCTCTTGGTCCCCTCCCCATGAGAAGCTCATGTCCACAGACACAGCACGCTCATCCCTTATGAGCTCTATAGTCCCAGGGACCAGATTGAAGTTTAAATCTAACTCCCTGCACAGCGCCTTGAAGAGAATGGGCTCAGCTACCTGTGAGTCTGGGGGGAAAAGCCTCACCCTTCTCTGTACTCACCAGCCAGAGCCCCACTGGACAGGAGCGAGCTCACGAGAAACAGGGGCAGAAGCATCGCTGGAGCCCGACTCAGAAAGTTCACAATGCCACTGCTTTAGTGGGGTTATAAAGAGCAGGCTGTGGTGGGACAGGAAACCTCCATGTGACATCCCCACACACCAGGCCTGGGTACAGCCCTCCCTGTTATTCTGTGGAGATGGGGAGTAAAGACCACATCCTCCCAAGTCATCCTTCCCACATGACTTTGCAACATGAGGGGATGCTCAGCACCTGGGCTTGTATTCTGCCAGGGCTGTATCCTGCCATGCATGCCTCATTCTCCTTTCCCCAGGCTGGAGCAGCCTGGTACTCTGCAGTGTCTATCACTGCCCATACTCATGTCCCCTGCACATCCAGAGCTGAGCTGGGGGGGATGTGACTTACTAGCCAACACAACTCACTCAGCTCTCTCTCCAGCTCAGTGCTAGTGCAGCAGGGGCTGTGGTTAACCCAGACTCATCTCAGTATCTAGTGAGAACTGGGGCCACACCCTGGAGGTCACATATCAAGGTCTCAAGGCACCTGTGACAGCAGGATTTTCAGAAATTACCTGTTCAATATCAAAGGGCAAAGTGCTCAGTTCCTACCAGTTGATCCAGCTGGTCTCACTGCCCTGGGCCTAAAGTCCTCACTGGTGTGAATTGGAGTCATCTGGGTTAGATTCTCCTTTGGTGTAAATCACATGTAGCTCTCTGGGAGGCCAGAACAATTTACACCAGCTGAACATATGGCCCATACAAGGCAGCTGAAAGGACAGACCCAGGCACCCCATATACCAAAGATGTGAGAACTCCCAGCACTGTGCAGATACAAGGGCCTATCACATGATATTCAGTACCTCAGTCTTGAGAGCCATGCCATTTCAAGTTAAAAAGGACCACCACAGCACAACCCAGAGAGTTCTGCTTAGTGTTTCTTAATTATTTTTATGGGGGTTTGGCCATTCAAGCCCCTGCAAGGCTTTGACAAGTTTGATTGTGTCTATTGAAACACATAATTGTCCTCCTTTGCTTTGCTGACCAAGCTAGCTGCCACATCTGCAAAGGTTCAAACTTCTGCAGTCTTTCTGCCTTAGCCACATTTCTGCAGCTTAGGGCCCAGACCTCTTACAAATAAGCAACCCTGGCAACAGCACGTAGCATTGCCTTACAGCACTTACAGGCGTATGAAGGTGCTGGGATGGTACATGAAGGATGTGAAGCCACTCAGGGTGGAGTGATGTAACTCTCGTAAGACGCTGAGGTCCCGGGGTACAGAGCCATGTTGTGCATGTTGTACTTCCAGCACTATAGGGCATCTAGAGAATAGGCCATGTGACTGGGGAAGTGGTAGCAGCAGTGCTGGAGGGAAGAGCTGACAGGAGCAGCACCATCAGGATTGTGAGGCCCCAGGAGTGGGATAATGGGATATAGGTCTGACCAGCAGCACCGTCAGGTACTCGAGGCAAAGGTATTGTGCTGACTGAAGCCTGCAGAACTGGGTTACATTTGGGGCCATACCTGAAGTCGTGCCAGCAGGACTGTGAGCTCACACTGGTAATGGTAAGACGACAACTGCTGTGCCACCACATGATAAGATGACTGGATCGGAGCAACACCATGGGGCTCCCTGCACTGACTAGAAGGAGCACAAGGCAATGGGGTAGTTGCTACAGCAGTGCCAGGTCAGTGGGGGAAGGGATGGTGTGACAGGAGCTGTAGCTGCATCCCAAGAGCTCACAGGGCTTTTCATGGGGTGCTGCACTCAGCATTGTGAAATCCCTGAGGAAAGCCAAGCCTGTTACTAAGAGCAGGGCTGGGCAGCAAAGGTAGAAACCTGCAGACCCAGATAATACACAGCTGCAGCTAATTAGGTAAGGGCTTGCTGAAGAGAGCAAGGGAAGACACCTGTGGCCTGCTGAGAGGCTCCCAAGGCAGGGGAGGAGAAGGAGAAGTCGAAGGAGAAGTCAGGGGCTAGGTAAGCCTGTCCATGAGCAGGAGGAAGGGGCTCACTGCTGGGAGCAGAGAGAAGCAGCACAGAGAGAAGTGGAGAACGGCCCTGGCTGTGCTCGCTGAAGGAGCCCCAGGCTGAGCAGAGAGGCAGTGCAGGGACTGGAGAGCTGCGAGCAGGCCCAGGAGGGCCTGAGCCAGGGGCAGCAGCAGAACTGTGGAGGAGCCCGAGGAGCATGTGGGGAAAGGCACCCAGTGCCCTTGGTTGTGTTGGGGTTTTGCTTTAGGTTACTGTTAGGCTGCAAGGCCTGGATGTGGCTGTAAGTATGGCAGGTGAGGGCAGGGCTGGGCCAGAGTGGAAGGGGTGGGATCAGAGCTCCCAGCCAACCTTGGGGATGGCTGTGCGGTACTGCCCAGCCCACCTGGGCTCCTTCTATGCACACGTCCTCTCCCACCACTTCTTTGACCCAGTTCAAGCAGGATTTGTCCCTTGCTCCACTTACTTCTGTCCATCGGGGCCAAATGCAGCTTTATTGTAAAGGCCAGGGTTCTTCACTGAAACCAGCAGATGAGAAAACCTGCCAGTGAGCCACTTGAAAGCTTAGAAATTAGAAGATTTTGGTTGATATAGGAGAATTAGGATTCCAGATCAGCAAAAGTTAAATAGGACTGGGCAAAAAAGTCAGACACGTTGTTTCTTCAGTTCTCAGGAAGAGTTTTGTAAAATCTATGCTACACATTTTCACCTTCTATTTTTGGGGTATTTTTATTTTTTCCCCTCTTTTTAAAAAAAACAAAAAAAACCCTTTTCTCTCATGTTCACTGCTTCTTTTCTTCCATTTTTTTTAAAATCTTTTTCTGTTATACCACTAAAAACATGAGTGGAGGAGGGGGAGAAAATGACAAATAATAGAATTTCCCAAAGGCTAACTTTTAATTTATGCTTTTATTGAAAAATAGATTTTTTTTTCTTATAAATAATTTCTATTTACTAAAAATTATATTTTTAGTCAAATATATTTTTTTGCTTAAAGAATACTCTTCAGGCTAAAGCTTTATTATGGCTTTTCCATATTCCTCTCTGGAAGGCAGTATTCTGGTATGTAGGTAGGTAGGTAAAAAAAAAAAAAAAATTAAAGAAAAATTAAATCTTTTTTAAATATAGACATCAAATCATTCCCAAACAAAAGCTTTGCTAAAAAAAAAAAAGTCTAAATGACAATCAGATAGCCACTTACTAACAGTAACACAAACATTGAAGGGTTTTATTAAAAGTAAGATCATGATCAAATTATGTTATTCTTGGTTAAAGCTAAATTGTTAAGCAATCATTAATTAACAATGACCAGACATTATTGTTGTTCATTTTAAAGTTAGGTAGACAAATAAATGGGTTGCTTTATTCAAAAATGTGAACAGATTAGTGTTAACAGCCAATTAAGTATAAATAACTATAAAATGTGTGGGGTTGATCATTAAAAGAAAATCAAGTTCTCATTCATTGTTATAGGGATTGGACATCTCTTCAAAATATTGTTCTCTTTCAAGGTTAAACCTTAGCTCGGCCCTGCCACTTCCCCCTTCACTTCTGGCCCTTCCTCCCCACCCCACAATGCCCAACCACAAAAATCTTCCCACCACATTCACCATTATAGCTTTTGCATTTGATTTTCAGGAGGGCCATGTAGGGTTTGGAATGGGCCTTCGCTGGCTAGCTGTTGATGATCTTCCGTTTTAAAAAAAAGTCAATTAATTTTATCCCTGCTCTGGTAAGAGAGAAGGATCAGATGAGGTAGGCTAGAAGAGGCCTGGGAGTCAGGTCTCCTGGATACTATTCCAATTTCTCTCAATAACTTCATCAATAATGCTGAGCCAGTCCCTTTCCCTCTCTGGCTCAGTTTGCCATAAGTAATTGCTGGGGTTGGCAAATGGGACTGGTTTGGGCTGGCAACCCTGTCTGCATGGAGGAATCAATACATCCTTTATGTGACGGGCTAGCTGGCAGTGACTTAACCCAGGGGTTTTGAAAGGGCAAAAGATGATTGGAGGACTTGGGATTCCCTTTCCTCACCAATCTGGTAATGATTTGACCCAGGGGTTTTGAAGGGGTAAACAATGATTGGAGGACTTGGGATTCCCTTTCCTCACCAATCAGGCCCCAGAGACTCACCCTCCGGGTTCCCTGATTGAGTCACCTGGAAGGGGATAAAAAGGGCAGCGCAGCTGACTCAGGAGGGACTAGTGAGGGACTACAAGGAAGGAGCTTCAAAGAGCTGGGCTAGTGGGGTGGGAGCAGTTGCCCTAGAAGCACCTGAAGGAGTGGGACCTGTAGGCAACAGTTGGACCCTGAGCAACATGGCGGCCGGCAGGAGAGGCTCCCAGCTGGGCTCCAGGATCCCCTACGAGAGGTTGCAGCCAGCAGGAGAGGCTCCCTAGCTCCAGCAAGGATCTGAGCAGCGACCTGAGAGGTTCCCAGCTCTGCTTCCAGCTCCTCCAAGAGATTAGGCAGCTTGACGTGAGGCCGGGGCTCTGGGAAGGTCAAGAGCCCTAGCAGCCCAAAGCCATACAAGCACTGGTGGGTGTGTGGTAGAGTTTCTGCCTACTGTGTGGGAGATCAAAGTTCAAGTCCTAGCTGGGATAAGTGAAATAGCAGGGGAGGGATCTTCATTGCAGCAGAAAAGGGTCATTGTGGTTTTTTCCCCCTTTCTCCCCCTCCAGGTATCTACGCCCTATATTCCTTGTTATTTGACATTTTGTATTTTGTGCCTTTTATATTTCGCCACCCAGTATTGTTTGTTGTGCTGTTTGTGTTTTATATTTTGTTAACCCTGTCTTTTGTCAATGATTCAAAGTGTCTAACCTTTGAATCCTGCCCCCTCATGGTGCTGTGGTGTCCCCGATATCCCCTGGTTTATGCTTGTTATGTTCCCAGTACTGTTCTCTCATTAAAAGGTATATGGTTAAGTCCCCATTAGTGATCTGGCTCTGCTCTATAGGGGGAGGAGGGTCCCTACACCTCCTACAGCACTCATGTACCTGCTTTGCTCCCTTCAATTGGAGAGCGGGTACCTCTTGGGGTACCACCCGGATTACATTTATATTGAATGGGTGCTGAAGTCTGTGGCCCTGTTAAGCTTAGACAACAGAGGCTTCTCTCACCAGCCCTGACACAGATCTAAGCTCAGGTATTTAACCCAGAAACACCGAAAGTCCAGCATTTAATGTCTAAGGCTAGAAAGGGATTATTAGGCCACCCAGTCTTGCCTTCAGCACACACCTTGCTAGAAAACAACTTATCTTCTATGAAAAACATCATATTTTTAAAAAGTTTCCTGCCAGATGGAATAAAAAGTGAAAAAATAGATCCCCTGAACTGCCTCGTTCTCCAACCCTCCTGCCAAATTCCTCCCAGACATTTCAACACACCTCCATATCCCTGCAGACCGCTCCATCAGAGCTCTCCTGTGGGGTACTCTCCTATCAGGGATGTCTTAACCTGTACGGCATAGGACAGTACAGTTCACTTGGCTTCCCCTATACTCAGCACAGTGACTTGTTTGTCTTTCCCCAGCTCCCAAACCACTTCTGTTGTACTTCTCTGCACAGTCCAATTTTTCAATATTTTAAAAATAAAATGGCATCCCTCTAGGGCTTACATCAACATGTTGGGGCCTCTGCAGACCCTAGCTACCAAGCAGGTGCTCTGGCAGGAATCGTGTACACTCTCAGTCCCCACTGCCCTTGATCCCTTGTACTTACTCGCCTGAGCCCAAGGGAGAAGGAGGAAGACTGTGGGGAGCAAAAGCAGCAACTGCATTGTTTCAGGAAACTGCATTGGCCTCTGTAGAGCTGGGGGTATATGGCAAGAAGGTGACTTCAGGGTGATGTTTGCAATCGTGGTGGTGGGGGCAGGGGCCCGAGCAGGGATGGGGCAGGAATCTGCCCCTGCAGGACAGCAATCTCAGATGAAGTGCTGGAGGCAAGACAGACCCTCCATAGCTGGGGGTGTTCCCCCCCTACAGCTGGGTAACATGTGAGCAGGCTCAGCCTTTTCAGAGGAGCTGGGAGCTGATGGGCTTGTTAGCAGTAGCTCTTTCCCCATGTCAGAGCTATTGGGTGGTGGCTGTGGTTAACCCCAAGCTATTTTAGCTTTATGTGAGAACGTAGCTTTTGATCCTTCTGAACAGACCATCAAGGTGATGGGGGCCTGCACTCTGGTTAGTGCAGTGCTGAAAAACATGGTGCAGAAGCTGCGTGCTCTTGGTGTGCAAGTACCTCGGAGCCCCAGCTCAGACCCCAACCCAATCACACCAAGTGCTGCACAAGCACAAAGAGGGACAGCCCAGCCACCAAACAGTTCATGTAGAAGCAAATGCAAAATGTGTAGCTGAGGGCTGCCAAGACAAATATAAAAGTTTTGGTTTCAGCCAAATATTCCCCCAGAAGTTTTAGTATTTGGCCATTGAAGAAAAATAAAATGATAGTTTATTATCACCTTTGGATTTTTGGTGCAGGTCATGCCTGGAAAGATCCAGCTCAAATGCTACACATACAAGGCCAAAACATAGAGCTGGAGACCCCAAGGTCGGGCTCCTGGAGGACGTGGGCAGAGAACACATTATACTGGTGTAATCAGCACTGTGCAAGTGTGACCAGCTCGAGCATACTCCTCATCCGTGGTGGAGCTGGGGAGCTGACTTCCTTACTGACAGTAGGGCCTCAGCTCCCTCTCCCCCACTCAAGGTTATAGCTGAGAGCTGTGGTTAAACCGACCCTCTGAGCCTGGGTGAGAACACAGCTCTTTGTTCTCTCTCAACAGACCACCAGGGTGACTGTGGATGGCCCTTTGCTTAGAGACACTGGAAAATTGCAGATGAAGACTGTGATGAACAGGGTTGAGTGGTTTGAGCTCTAACCTGTAGACCTCATGGGGAGCAACTAGGGAGAAGGGAGAGGGAACTCAGTGTGAGCATCTGTTGACATCAAATAATTCATAGAATTATAAAAAATCAGGGTTGGAAGGGACCTCAGAAGGTCATCTAATCTAATCCCCTGCTCAAAGCATGACCATCTAGATCATCCCAGTCAAAGATTTGTCTAGACAGGTCTTAAAAACCTCCAAGAATGGAGATTGCACCACCTCTGTGGGTAACCTGTTCCTGTGCTTCACCACCTTCCTAGTGAGAGAATTTTTCCTAATATCTGTCCTAAACTTCCCTGTAGAAACAGCAGTAATTGCTGTAAACAGTCTTGTAAGCAGAATCCTGGGGGGAGATGGCAGACTGCGCCTCAGAGATCAGTTCCCCATGACCTTGTATTTCACTGTATTGGGTAGGTGTTGTCCGCAGGTTAATACTAACACACCAAGGCTGGCTTCAGGAAGGTCCTCTCAGGACAAGCAGACCAGACAAGGCTGCTGCTTGGGGAATTCCAAGAAAGAACTTCCCACCCCTTCTCCACCGGAAACAGGCACAGATCCCATGACAAATATCTCCACTGCCAATTTGTCTCCA